GCAGGCCAGAGCCAGGCCACAGGCGAAGCTCAGCCAGCCGCTAGCCCCCGGCCTCTTGGCCCCTCGAACTCGTGTCTGACCAGGAACTCCACCCTCGGTCCCCGAGGCCTCATTCGCTGCCGGCCCCACCAGGTACGCCCCCCACGCGGCCAGACACGGGGCGGGCGTGCACACTCATGGCTCGGAGGCGCAGCTTTACTCCAGGGCCCCGTGGCCCCCGTTGGGTGTGGCCCCACACGCCCCTGCGCCCCAGGCTGGGGCCTGCCCAGGTGCGCCCCCACAGACAGGCTTGATCACCGCTCAAAGAGCTCCGAGCTAAGTCTTTCTCTTAAAAGAGAAAACTCAGAAGCATGTCACACGTCTAGGAAGAATTCTGGTTGAAAGGATCAGGGAAGTATCGGAAATCTGGCGCAGCCCGTACGCTCACGCTTTATCGCCCACAGAACGTGGGCGGTCCCGTTGGCTTCCCTGAGGCCTTCCCAGGCCAGCAGTTGTCCCCGGCCTGATCCAGAGGTTCGTTTAGCGATCGAAAGGTCGAGAGCTCCGAAAGCATCTGCGTGCTCCAGAGTCCTCCCCATCTCTCTCGTGGCCTGTCGCTGGTGCCGCTGTACGTGGTAGGTTCGCGGAACCGACCCCTTACTCGCGTCGTTCTGCAGGAATCGCTGCCGTGCCGCCTCGTGACGTGCCTTCTCTCCTTCCCTCCCTCCATCTGCGGACGTTGCCCTGCCGTCGCCGCCCTCCGCTGGCCTGCAGTTTTGGCCAACATCCTGTGCGGACGGGAAGAGGTAGGGAGCGTGACTTGTCTGCGGTCGTCCCGTATCATGCGTGTCTGGTTCCGAGACGCGGCCGTCTGTCTTGCCAGACGCCTGGGCGGTCCCCTGCTGGACGGAGGTGGGGGGGTGACGTTCGCACTAGGGGGGCCACCAAAGGCGTATCGAAGCTAACCACCGTCTAGCGTCGCACTCGACGGCAAACAGTAAACATGGAGAGTCCGCTTGGAAGCTGGAGCAGAGCGCTGGCCCGCGGGCTCTGGGCTGGGAGCTGGGCCCGAGCTTTCGCGACCTCCTCCGAGCAGCTCGGTGCTATCACGGCGCCGGTGCATTGCTCGTTCACCGCCGCTGTAGAAAAGGACTAAAAAGACAGCCTAGATTTCTACGGGTGGTGGCTTCTGGCCTTTTCCGGTGGCCCATTGCATCGATGAATCGCAGAGAAACAAAGCTACCGTGATTTCCGTAACTGTAATGTTAAAGTGTAGATTTTTAAAAATACATTTATCAACAAATTTCAGATGATTATGGTTGCAAGCCTATGAAATCGCCATTTTGCGTACGTCCAAAATCGTCTAATAGTCGCAACATTTCATAGGGTTCCAAACCCACAGGCACGTTGCGGGTCATGGAGTCCCTGTCCTCGATTCTGTGACACCCCTACCGACCCCCTCCCGAACCTTAGAGCCCGTCCCTTAAAGTCACTCGCTCTCAGCGCGGTGCGGGCCAACAGTCAAGCCATCGTCGGTGCAGCCCATGTGGGTGCCAGGTAACGCACAAAATCAATCCGTGTGTTAAGGCTAGGGCTGGACCGGGCGGTGGCTCCACGCTGTAATCCTAGCCACTCTGGAGCCAAGCAGACGGATTGCTCGCAGTCAGGAGTTCGAAAGCAGCCTGAGCGAAGAGCGAGACCCTATCTCTACTCATATAATAGAGAAAAAAAAAAAAAAAAATGAAATTAATGGCCAATTGAAAAATATAATAGAAAAAAAATCAGCGCGGCTGGTGGCACAGCCTGTAGGTCTCAGCTAACAGGAGGCCTGAGCCAGGGAGGATTGCTTGAGCAGCGAGTTTGAGGTTGGCTGTGATGAGGCCACCACACTTAGCCCGGGCAACAGCGCAAGACCCTATCTCAAAAAAATAATGAGAAAGAAGAAGGCAAAGAGAGAAGAAGGAAGGGAGAAGGAATGGAGCGAGAGGCGCGGGGATTGGAGGAGAGACGCAGGGGAGGACAAAGGCAATGAGGAAGAGAAGACTCTAGGGCCCTGTTTCTCCCGCCTGTGGGAGGGACAGAGGAGCGACAGGGTCAAAGGCAGCGCCAGGTCTAACCCCAAGGTCGCGCACAGACAGCGCATACCTCAGCAAACCCCTTCCCTCCCTGGACTTCAGTTGTCTCTGTCTTAAATTGTGGAGTGCTGAACTAGCCACGTCCCAGTCTAAGCAAGTCTTCTACCAGAGAGCCACAGCCTGGCCGGCGAAGCGCTGGGCGGACAGGACCAGGTGGGTGGGTCTGGCCCGCCCGCCTGGGCCTCACGAGACACTGGGTTACGTGAATGGGGGGGCTGTGGCTGGCACGACAGGGCCAGGGCTGAGTGTGGGCGAAGCAGTCACAGCGGTGTTAGGGCCTCACACTCTGGGCATGACAATGTAACACAAAAAACGTTTCTGCAAACAGAGCCTTCTTTTTGGCATCGGTCGGGATCCATTCTGATTTGATAGTCGACGACGCATGACTCGAGAGAGCGTTTTCTCTTTTAGAACCGGAAGGTTAAACGTATTCGCAAAGCCAGGCCACCTTTTATTTGCAACCTGCAGTTGTGGCCGCCTAGGGGAACTTGGCCGGCAGCATCTGTGTGGTGGGGGGCAGGCCTGGGCTGCAGAGCTGGCTCCGCGTCCGGTCCCTCGCCGCCCGTCAGCTCGCGGGTGCTTCGGCTCAGGACTCGCTCCGCCCGGACGGGACGCATTCTGTGTTTGCACCGCTGGTGCACACGGCTGCCTTCCCCTGGGCCCGTGTTTCATGTGACTTCCTGGGGGCGGCGCCTGACCACTCGTCTGCTCCTCCCAGGCCTCAGCGTGGGGACATGTTCGTAACGTCTTCCGCCGACGACGGGGCATTCGTGGGGCCGCCACTCCCGAGGACTGCGAGATCCGGAGCACCTCAAGCCCCGGAGAAGATCTTCAATGAGCTTCGTGAGTTTTGTGCAGCTCTCACACACACACACACTCTCTCTTTCTGCTCTCTCTCCTGAGACAGTTTCACGGGGCGCCCACTGGATTTCTGATAATCCTGTTCTTCGTGGTGTGGTGTGAGATTGCACATCTTGTAGGATGGCGCAGAGTGTAAACTCTCGTCCTTCCCTGCAACAGGCGGCTTCCGTGCCAGGGTGTCCTGGGTGGAGCGCCCAAGGGCGTTCAGAGTGGTTCCAGAAGGTGACAGTAAATGGCGTTGAGATGGCACCTGGACAGACAGCTGTTTCCTCGGTGGCTGCAGGGGCCGGCCAGGGTAGAAGTGACAAGTGGCATGCAGGGAGGACGTGATCGCTGACGCGTGGATCTAGGAAAGCCCCCAACCCCCAGAACCCCATGGTCGAGGAAGGCCCCCCCCCCAGCCTCTGTCCCTCCGCGCCTGTTTTCCCGCTTGGCCTCTGGGGCACCCTGAGCTTCCTTGAAGGTGGTTGTGGGATGTGGGATTGGTGTGTGCGTGCACAAGGCCACCTACAAATCTCCGTGGCTGGCTTCCCCTGAGGGCAACAGGTACCAAGCTGTGGACAAGCTGACGGCGTGGCAGGCGAGTGTGGAAACGAGCGGGCGGCGCGCAGGGGGGGGGGGAGGGCGTCCCGGGCTGCTGCCTTTCGCTCGCTGCGGTGTGGGGAAAGCTGGTTTCCAGGCTGCTTCATCTGAATTAATTATTCTTTAGAAGTGTTATCTCCCGTGAATTTTCCTTGCATCCTGATGGTCATGAACCCAGTTGGGAGGAGTGGTCCTAGTTAATTTCTGGTGATCAGGGTTAAATAATTGCACCCCATCATAGTGGCTCTGATTTTCCATATATTTACAACCACGTAACCTGTGATTTGAAGGAAAGCTCTCAAATCCTCACCAGGACTCAATTTTTCTGGATAAAAAGCTAGAACAAGACCCAGGGAGAGAGGTCCCCAAGCTGTTTGAGGCGACACCAGCCCCGCGTGAGCCAGGGAACATTCCAGATGACAGTCTGCATCTGGAAAACGCCCAGCTCCTCGTAGACAGATACAGTGGGGCAGCCCTCTGCCTAAGCTCCGTGTGAGTCGGGTGGGTGAGACGTCCTCTCTGCCCAGCAGGAAGTGGCACGTGCTGTAGCACATAAGGACGCAGGCTTCAGAGTCAGGCGGGCCTGGGTTCAAATCCCGCCTCTATAGGCTAAGTGGCTTCAGAAAAGTTACTCAACCCCTGTAAGCCTCATTTTTCATATATGCAAAGCTGGGGGTCTGATGAGGATGAAATATGATGACAGAGAGCAAGGGTAAAAGGAAAGAGACCAGTTTTAAAATTACTGCAGTCACCTAGGAGAGAGGTGGGGGAGAAGGTTCTATGCTGGAGACACAGGTCTGGGCACTAGTAGCATCTGAGCATCAGGCCTGGCTCAGGCTGGAGTCAGGGAAGAAGCCTCGGCCAAAGATACAAATTTGGGAGTTGTGAGCACGTGGAGTGTATTTAAGCCATAGGTTTCTCTGAGATCCAAGGTGGGGATTTTATTTTATTTATTTTTTATTTTAGCGTATTATGGGGGTATAAGTGTTAAGGTTACGTGTATTGCCCATGCCCCCCTCGAGTAAGAGCTTCAAGCGTGTCCATCCCCCAAACGTTGCACATCTCACTCGTTGTCGTTGTATACACCCATCCCCGCAGGGAGGGGATTTTATGGAAGAGAATAAATGTAGGCCTGAAGCCCGGGCATCCCACGTGCAGAGAAGGGTCAGGCACTGGGAGGAGGAGGGAAAGGGACTAAAGAACAGCCAACACCGTCAGGGGATGGCCCAGGTTCAGACAGAGGATGAAAGGGGTTTGATTTGGTGTGACAAGTCAATACGGACCTTGGTGACAATGACGACGGCAGCTCTGAGGTCAGGACTGGAGCCGGCCGGTTAAGCGTCAGGGAAGGAAGGGGCAGCGGAGGGTGCTGGGGCGGGAACCCGGAGCTGTCGGGGGGAAAAGGAGGTTTGGAAGCCTGACGGCAGCCCCTGTCCCCTGCAGGGAGACATCTGTCCTCAGCGTGGAGGGGACGCGGCCGTGCCGTGCCAGTGGGCATCAGCAGTCAACGTCCGGAACCGGTACATCTACGTGGCCCAGCCGGCCCTGAGCAGAGTCCTCGTGGTCGACATCCAAGCCCAGAAAGTGCTGCAGGTACGCCTGTTTGACACAGTGAGGGGACGTCGGAGTCCGGCCACGCCCATCTTTGCCTCTGCAGGCTCCCGGCGGTGGTCGGTGCGCGGTTATTCACTGAGCGTTTACGCGCCGGGCGCTGTTCTAGGCAAACCAGGACTGAGCAATGACGTCCCTAGAGCTGGGGAAACAGACCATAAGCCAGAATTGTAGGCAGCTGTGAGGAGCACATGCTGCGGAAAACCAGGTAAAATGTGTCGGACACTCAGGGGACAAGCTCAGTCTCCACACGAGAATGGAAGCTCAGGTCTGGAAGCCAAGATCTGTGTATTTTTAGTAGAGACGGGTCTGGCTCTTGCTCAGGCTGGTCTCAAACTTCTGAGCTCAAAGGATCCTCCCAGGGGGCTAGGATTACAGGTGTGAGCCGCTGTGCCCGGCCCCTATTAAGTTCTTATTTCACATATTGCATTTTTCACTTTTTAAGTTTCTAGTCAATTCCCTTTTCTATATATAAATTATTAATTATCTCTTTATGGATCAGCTTTGGGTCTGTTACCATTGTCTTTTTAATGTTACTTTTGGTCACATCATCAAAGTTATAGCTATCACCAACCGCAGAGGGTTTACCTTTCCCTCTGTGAGGCAGGGAGAGACCTAATCATTTTAAGTTAATGGTGGACTCAGTGGAATCAAACCTGTATTAGGTCAGTTCTCCCTCTGATGCCGGTGAGGAAGCTCTAGGATTAGGGGGGCATCTCTTCCCTGCCCTATTCTTGTTCCTTACAACATTGATACTATGGAAAATTCTGTGCTGAATTCAAGAGATCTGGAGTTTTGCTCTTCAGCCTCTTGCTCCATAGTAAGAATATGAAATCCACGGGGAGAAGATTAAGCAGACAGAGTAGCTGCAAGAAGCGAGAGACAGCGTCAGCACTGAAGGGGGAGGAAGCTCTGGGTAGAGGAAGACGGCGTCGGGTGCTGAAGCCTTTGGAGACTAAAGGGAAGAAGGAGGGGTCGCTGGAGGCTATGTAAGACCTGGAGTTTGTAAAGTCTAGGAAAATAAAAACAGCCTCTACTTCCCACTCGGGAGACAGGAGTTTTTAATTAGAGCAAGAAAGTAAAGGGTGAATTCAAAGCTGAGGAGGACTGGAGAGGAGACAGGTTGGAAGGGGGCTGGGCACGCTAAGGAGTCTGTGTAGGTGACCAGGGTGATGGGGAGCCACGGTACGGGGTGAGAGGATGGAGGGAGAGAGAAGGTCAAGGATGGAGACATCAGGATGAGGAGGAAAAGCCAGGGAGGTGGGAGCCCAAGTAAGAAAGTGTTTCTAGAAGGAAACAGTTAACCAAGTGGAATCTTCCTGAAATGTCCAGTGAAAGGAGGATTATGAAGTGATCTCAGAAACCTGGTAGGAATGGTGGCTCCAGGACACCACAGACAGTCCAGAGAAATGCTCACCAGGGGAGGCAAAGATGATACATACGGGCAAGGTGTAAGTTGTGGTTCCTGAGGTGGGCAGGAGGGAAGAGATCACTGACACCAGGAAGGGACTGGGAAAGCAGGGCTGTGGAGGAATCATGCACGTGCAGTTGAAGGCACCAGACTTTGTGACCAGTAGAGAGGGTGACAGTGAACTGTGCGTCAGCCCCATTAGTAGCCAAAGGCGGGACCAGGATGTTGACACCAATGACAAGGGGAGGAGCAGGCGGTTATGGTCTACTTCTATGTTCTGTAATGCTCAGAGCCTTTGAACCTAGAAAACTTCACCATAAGAAGAAGAGACAGTGCCGTGTTCTCAGTGAGCGCCCGATGCTACTGTCTGAGGCTCAGAGGAGAACAGAGGTAGAGAGCGCGCCCGCGTGCCAGCCACGGCGTACGCGCGAGGCTCCCAGAAGAGTGTCTGGAGCTGGTGCCCGCGTGGGAAACGTAAAGCCTCAGTGTTCAGGCTTTTTCCAAGTTGGTCTCGGTCTCTTTAAGTAAAAACATAAAAGGGAGAACATTGGCTCACACCTGTAATCCTAGCACTCTGCCGAGGATCACTTGAGCTCAGGAGTTTGAGATGAGAGTCCTCATCTCTACTAAAAATAGAAAAAATTAGCCAGGTATGCACCTGTAGTCCCAGCTACTCGGGAGGCTGAGGCAGGAGGATCGCCTGAGCCCAGGAGTTTGAGGTTGCTGTGAGCTAGGCTGACGCCACGACACTCTAGCCCGGGTGACACATTGAGACTTTCTCTCGTTTTTTTTTGAGACAAACATTATTTGTGCCTCTGAGAGAAGCCGGAGGGAAGCTCTGTCCCGGTTCCTAAGGGGACGTGGGTGAGGCTCCGAGGCCGGCCTTCCCGCCACCCAGCAGTGACGTCCACGCACACAAAGCCCAGAAATGGCCGTCACGTCATCTTGCACAACAACAATGACCAACTTGCCACTATTTCTTTTCAAGTCCATAGGTGTGGACCCTCTGCCGGCTAAGCTGTCCTATGACAAGTCACACGACCAAGTCTGGGTCCTGAGCTGGGGGGACATGCACAAGTCCCAGCCCAGCCTCCAGGTATGTGAGCACATGGAGAGGGGTCCCCGCCGAAAGGAGGACTCTCTCCCCATAAAACAAACGTCTCCTGCTGCCCTGGGTGGCCGATCACAGGCACCCAAACCATGCCCATGAAGACTCAGGGACACAGCAGGAAATAGCCGCAGGCCCCTGCCAGTAGCAATGACCACGGACGGGATTCTGATGTCACGGCAACCAAAATGGGGCACCCAGCCCACCATACCTGCCTCTCCTGAGCCTGTAGCTGCTGGGGCCAAACAGAACAAGGCCCTGGACTCCAGGCTGTGACAGGGCCGGCGTCCCCTGGGGCTGGCCAGGCTGGAGGCCGTGTGGAAGCAGTAGCAGGTGCAGCCCTAAACAGAAGCACATTTGCTTAGTGCTCACACTGTGCTCGGGGTGGAGAGTTAAATAATTTGCCTGTGATGCAGCCCCGGCAGTGTGGCTCTGGACCCTGTGCTCAGCCACTGCACTGCCCCTTAGGAAGGGCTGAGGCCCCGGGGGCTGTGGGACCCCATTCTTCCTCAGCTGGGGAAGGTTCACAGTTCTCCCAGCCTCTCCCCCTCAGCAGGGATCCCGGGAGGATTCGTCACCACAAAAATGATCTGAGTGCCTGTCTCCTCAGTGATCCCAGTGCTGGTGTACAGAGCCATTCTAGGTGCCCAGGGGAATGTCAACCTCTTCCCTCCCGTGGACGCCTCAGACACTAGGGCTGGATTCTCCCTCAGAACCGCGGTAGAGAAGCTTCCTCCTGGGGTCTGCTCACCGCTGGGCCAGGGAGAAGACACCACTCCACTCTCCATAAACTGAGGCTATTGTCACTGAGGGGACACCACCCACCATTTTGGGGCCCCAGAGCTGACAAAGTAATAATAGCCTGTCACAGTTCCCAGCGGCCCGGAGAAACAGAGCTGCCAAAGAAAGCACTGCAGGAAATTCAAGGGGAAGAGCCCCTAGAAAAGAACTTTTTGGAACTAATAACAAAAATGACTTTCCAGCTTAAAACTGCAATAGACGAGTTGAAAAACACACGGTCCCTACTAAGACCCAAAATAGCAACCTGAAAGATAAAGAAGAAAAACCCTCTCAAATGAAGAGCTTGAGCCCTGAAGTGGGAACAGCAGCAGCTTAGAAACAAAAGGTATGACGATTGGAAGGGAGTCAAACATTAAGCAAATGTGGAATAAATGTAGATCGAAAGGGATCCACAAGTTCCAGGCTAATTGATGTCAAACAACAGGTCTCTGCACTTACTGATAAAATTCCAGAACTCCAAGGATAAAGGGAAAACGTTTTAGGGCTGAAGGAAATTACCTATAAAAAGAAAACCGATCACGTAGGTGTTGGACTTCTCACCTGCAACAGGGGCTGGAAGACCCTGGAATCATAGCCCTTTCGTGTGCATAGCGTGTGGACAACAACCCGAGAGTCCTGTTCCAGCCAGAACACCTGTCACCTGTAGGAACAAAAGAGAAATGTGTGCAAGAATAAAAGTGAAATGGATGAGAAGAGACTAACTAAGGACATTTTAATTAGAAACATTAAATTATTTCAGTAAAGGTAACAGTAGAGAGTGGAAGAGGGAGAAAAATACTGAAAAAAAATATCTAGTGGGTTAAGAAAGGAGATACAGAATGTTGTTTGGAAATAGGTAGTTGAGAAGTATCTCATTATTCCTGATATGACACGATGAATTCTCCTATTAAAAGCAGAAATGATCAAATTTGATTACAAAAAAGAAAATGAGCAATAACTTGAAGTGATAATAAAAAAGGTCGAATTTAGGCCGGGCGCTGTGGCTCACGCCTGTAATCCTAGCTCTTGGGAGGCCGAGGCGGGCGGATTGCTCAAGGTCAGGAGTTCAAAACCACCCTGAGCAAGAGCGAGACCCCGTCTCTACTATAAATAGAAAGAAATTAATTGGCCAACTGATATATATATAGAAAAAATTAGCCGGGCATGGTGGCACATGCCTGTAGTCCCAGCTACTCGGGAGGCTGAGGCAGAAGGATCACTCGAGCCCAGGAGTTTGAGGTTGCTGTGAGCTAGGCTGACGCCACGGCACTCACTCTAGCCTGGACAACAAAGTGAGACTCTGTCTCAAAAAAAAAAAAAAAAAAAAAGAAACAATTCTGGATAGCTATTTTAAAAAGTAAAATTACAAATTGTCTCAAAAGCAGTAAAAGAGAGACTATTTTACATAAAAACCTATGAGATACAGAGAAAGCTGTCCCCAAAGAATATTTCTGGCTTAAAAGCCTACAAAGGAAGTATTTGTTTTAAGAAATTAGAAAAAGAACAAAGTTACTAGCTAAAAGGAATTTAAGACTGAAATTAACAGAAAACCAAAAAAAGGTGCTCACTTTGGCAGCACATATATTAATACTGAAATTGGAACAATACAGAGATCAGCACAGCCTCCGAGCAAGGGTGACACACAGATTCTTAAAATGTTTCCCCTCTCAGGGTAGTGGTATTCCTGAAAACTTCATTACATTATTTTATGTAAAAATACCAAGTGCTTTTATATAAAGTTTTGTTCTGGACCCAGGGAAAAGAAAGAACAAATAGATTAATCCTCCACAACCCTGATAAAGCAAAAAAACAAACAAAAATAGACAAAATAAGGAATAAAAGGATGTTATTGCAGATACAAGAGGATGAAAAGAATTAAAAATACTACTCCTACACTGAAAGTCAGACAAATTTTAAGGCCTAGAGGAAAGAGATGATAACTTGCAAAATGCAAAAATAAATTTTAAAAACTGACCTATGAAATAGACCAATTACCCTAGAAGATTTTTTTAAAGATTAAAAAATGCATAGCTGAGTTTTATCAAGTCTTCAAAATAGAGATAACTTTAATATTGTTTGAACTATCCCAAGATCATGAGGGAATATGTATAGTTCCTTAGTTTGTTTTAAAGAGCCGGTATAATTATAAAAACTGATTTAAAATGGCACAAAAATAAAACTATAACCTCACAAATACAGAAGCAAAGTTCTAAACATAATACTAAGAACAGAGACCAGCGCTGTGTCTACAGGCACAAGCAGGGAACACAGGCCCAGGATGATCCATAATATCAGCAAATGAAAAGAGAAAAAAAATGTAGGCTATCTTCAATAAATGCTGAAAAGGCTTTTCATTAAATACAGAAGGCATTCTTAGTAAAAAGCCTAAAAATAGGAAAACAAGGAAATTCTTTAACTACAATAAAGACTATTTCCCCCAAACCAACAGCATGTCTTTGCCTAAATGTCCCAACACAAACCATTTTAATACCAGAAATCAGACCACGCTGCCGCCACCATAACCGGACAGTCTAGGAAATGCATTATCACAGGAAAGAGTTTGAATAGCCCTGCTTTCGTCACTGTGCGCTGAGGAAACCGGTACTCGCAGAAACCGCTCCTGGGAGGGTCCCTGGGCACAGCCTCCGTGGGGAGCAATGTGGAAATGGGGAACCAAAGCCTCGGAGAATCATTTCTGATCCAGCAACTTGACTTCTCAGGATTTATCCAAAGGCCAAAATCATGGATGTGCACAAAGATTTAAGAACATGAAGCGTTACTGCATCATCTACATTTGCAAAACAGTAAAAACAATATCCTAATACTGTTTCCAAGCATCTGACACTAAGGGATTCGTTGAGCCAACTTTGCTATGACCACACGAAGGTGTTTCTATGAACGCCCCCCCCCCCCCCCCCCCCCGCAACTGGTTTTTGAACATTTGGCATCTTCTCAAATCCTGCCGGGAACCTTCCTGCCCACCCTTTCCCAGGCCAGCGTCCGGGGCCTCTCGGCCCATCACACTGGGCACACTGTTCCCCTGTCCTTCCACGTGTCCCTTCTCGGCTGGCCTCGCCCAGCCTTCCTGGACCCACCCCGCCAACTGCCTGGCCTGTCCCGATATTCAGGCACACATGTGCATCTCCTGGACCAAGGAGCCGGAAACTGTCATGCCAGGGCGTGACAGTGATCTCTGGGGCACTTCTGGACCCAGCCACGTGCCAGGATGCAAGAAAACGCCAAGAAGGCACTCGTGGCTCGGAGAAACAAAGCTGCCGTGCCCACGTCAGTTCAACGGCCCACCGTGCTGTGTGTCTGACAAAGTAACCTCTGAGTACAGGGTGTCGGGGCGGCGGGGCGTGAACAACACTGACTGGTGACAGCCTGCAATTTCCCGTCCCTGCTGTAAGCCGAAATGACAGGCCTGGTGTGGAGCAATTATCGCGTGGCCGCTTGGAATTCTCCAGCCTTTTCCTGCAGACTCTCTGAGATCCAGTTTCCTAACGCTGGTATTTTCTTAATACCAGCTCTATGAATTTTTTTCCCATGGACTTGCCTTGGGAGTATCATTTGGCTGTTTACATAATGAGTGAGATGTGCAAGGTTTGGGGTATGGTTACGCTTGAAGCTCTGACTCGAGGGGCGAGGGGGCACATGGGCAATATAAGTTGCCCATGTTGAGTAATCTTAACATTTTTACCCCCATAATATGCTGAAATAAAAAGAAAATATAATAATAAATAAATCACAGGAAAATAATCTAATGCAGCTTTAGACCTGCCCCAGGACTGAAAACCATGGCGTGCGTCACTCTGGGCCAGCACTCGGCCTGTTGGGGGGGGGGGGTCCGGCGTCTGCTTCCCATCCTGTCCAGGGGGTCTGGGCTTGTCCTAGGGCCCCTCAAGCCAAAATTGCTTATAAGACGGCCAAGCCCCTCATCTGGCTGCCGGCGGCCGCCTTGCAGGCAACGGTCTGGAGCTGGAAGACAGGTGAGCACGTGCAGAGGCGGGAGGGGACAGCCAGCCGGGCTGGGCCTCGGTGGTGAGCAGGGGCTGCCCAGCCCGACACTCAGGGCAGGGCCTCCAGACCCCCTCATCGCACCTGGCCCCGCACCCCACCCTGCTCTGTCCTAAGCTGCCGGCAGCGTGCCCTCTCCTGCCACAAACACAGCAGGGACCTGCCTTGTCCGCCGGGGAGGAAGTGTCACCTCCAGGGAAAGAGGCAGCCCTGCCCCATCATTTCGTTTTGTACAAAGCACAGGGCCCAGTAGTTTACCTTCCACAGCGAGCCCCCTCGGTGCGGCCAGAACCTCTTCCCCAAGTTCTGATCGCAAGGCGTCTAAACACCGCGAGCAGCAGCTCCGAGTGTGGGAGACCTCCCGCAGGTCGGCTACCTTCTCTGGGAGACACTCGTGTCACCTCTCAGCATGTCACCTGTCAGCATGTGACAGATTCCTGACAAACCGGCCCAGGCACTGGACACCAAACAAACATGAAATCCCACCAAACAATTCCACCGTTACCATTGCTGAGAGCTCCCTCCTCCCCTGGCGTGGCCTACACCTGGCGCAGGTGGGATTCCCTGTTAGGGGAGGAGCTTGTCTCTGAGCAATCAGGGTGACGTTTCAGCTCTGGGGACCTCCCTCGGAAGTCCCAGTGCCATCTCTCGGGTTCCGGTCTCGGCAGCTGAGCAAGGAGGAGGGAGCAGTCACTCCTATGCCACCCATCCTCCCGGGGCAGGCTCGGTCCCCTGCCTGTGACGTGCCCAGAGAGCCCCCGCTTGCTGCTCCCGGGGCCCTGGGACTGCGATTTGTGCGTCACCAACCTCACAGGACCCCCCCTCTGTGTCGCAGGTGATCACGGAGGCCAGCGCCGGCCAGGGCCAGCACCTCATCCGCACCCCATTCTCAGGAGTGGACGACTTCTTCATCCCCCCGACAAACCTCATCATCAACCACGTCAGGTGAGACCGGCTCACGCACCCCGAAGCTGCTCCGCACCCCAGCTCAGCCTGCACGGGCAGCTTTGCCCGGGGGTAGGAGGGGCGGGGGGGCTGCTCCTTTCCCCGTCTCCCCCGCTCCTCCCATGCGGGGTTCAGACCCCACCAGGAAGAGACAGAGAAAAGGACCCGTCTCTAGAAAAGCCGGCCCAGAGCCTGGTCCTCAGCAGGTAGAGTCCGTGACTCTGCTGAGCAGGTGCTCAGCTCCTGTGCGCTCAGGGGCCCCGTGAGGTCAGGAAGGGTCATCCTCCAGGTGAGGACAACACAGGAAGAAACAACAGTGGCAAATTGAGCGCCCTCCACCTGCTACAGACGAAGATCTAGAAGCAGCAGTCCTGACCCCTATTACACAACCAGGGGTTGGCAGCGTCAGACTACATGCAAAGCCCCGTCTTCCCCCCGTGCCCCATCCCGCTCCTTCCTCACTGGCCACAGCCCATGATGCCTCTGGGAGCCCCCAAACCTCCGTGCAGGGGCCCCACAAAGAGACCAGGCTTCCTGAGAGCCATGGCTCGCCGCCATCTAATAACGGCAGCCACGGCCCCCACTGCAAACCCCCTCCCCCAGCCCGGCCGTCCCCTCCCTACGCATTTCAGAGACCCCCAACATCTTCTGTAGAGTTCTCGTTGCTAGAAGACCCAGCCTGCCCTCCAAGTCACCAAGCCCCTAAATGTCCTGGGCACTACTTGTGCCTTTCTGTCATCTGCCACCAAGCGCCTCTCTCCAGGAAGGGACGATGAACCTTTGCAAGGGGAGGCTGGCAAAGCGCCCACGCACCCACCGAGGAAAACCACTCCGTGAATCTCCCCGCCAGACAGCACCTGGGCAGGACCCTCTAGATTTGTATCAAAGGGGCAACCCTCACAAATATGCCAAATTCACACCTGTAATCCTAGCACTCTGGGAGGCTGAGGCCGGTGGACCGTTTGAGCTCAGGAGTTTGAGAGCAGCCTGAGCAAGAGCAAGACCCCGTCTCTACTAAAAAAAATAGAAATTATCTGAGCAACTAAAAATATATATACAAAAAATTAGCCGGGCATGGTGGTGCACACCTGTAGTCTCATCTACTCGGGAGGCTGAGGCAGGAGGATCGCTTGAGCCCAGGAGTCTGAGGCTGCTGTGAGCGAGGCTGATGCCATGGCAATCTAGCCTGGGTAACAGAGTGAGACTCTGTCTCAAAAAAAATAAAAATAAAAAAGGACGCCAAGTTCAGCCGGGCATTGCACAAACTCAGAGGCGCCGCGGCTCCTGGGAGAAGCTTTTACGCTCGGGTTCCTTAGGAAGGGTGGGGCTTTCTTTCTGGCTCTTCCAGGATGCTTTGAAGACATGCCCGGTAATGGGGGAGCGTTTCCCCCCACTCTGGGGTACAGGTTTTCAAGAGAAATTTACGGAGGAGATTTTGCTCTGTCGCTGTAGGGGTTCATAGCGCCAAGCGCCTCGGTGGGCCGGGGACTCGGGCACAGGCCCTCGAGATCAAAGGGAAGTTCCACCTGGAGTGGGGCCTTTCCATTGCAACCAGCCTCCAAAAATGAACTCAGAAAGTTCACGTGCGAGCCACTGGCACCTACCTGAACCCTCCTCTAGAGCTTCCTCTTAGAGCCAGTCCTCCCAGCAGCCCCAGGAGGAGCCACCCTCGTTGGAGTGCGCAGAGAGGCGAGCGGCTGGCCGGGCAGCACCAGGCCCACCGGCTCCCATGGTCAAAGCTGTCCTTGGCACTCTGGCCCCAGGTTCCTCCTACCTATATCATCAGCGTGGCCAGGGACGGGACTGCCGACGACATCCCTCGCCCAGGACTGATAGGAAATCCATACTTGTACAGCCGCCTCTGCGTCCTCAAACTCTGTCTCACAGGTTAGTCTAGCAAACAGCAAGGACACAGAGTCTCCTATCTTGTCATGGCAGGCAGAGTCCGGGCAGTCACCTCTTGCCCTTTTCTTCCACGCTCACCTTCCACACACAGCCCCCCGCCCTGCTTCCAGCTGCCCAGGCCTCAGAGAAACAGGTCACAAGCATCCCGGAGGGTGGAGCTGTTGAAAGCCCTTTCTCCCTGCTCCTCCACCTTTTCTAAACATGAGCGCGCGTTCCAAGAGCCTAAGTCCCCAGGCGTGGGGGCTCACGCCAACCAACAATCCCCGTACTTTGTGGGCCAAGGCAGGAGGATAGTTTGAGAACAGCCTGGCCAACATAGCAAGACTCTGTCTCTAGATAAACTTTAAAAATTAGCCAAGCGTGGTTGTGCTCACCTGTAGTCCCAGCTACGTGGGAAGCTGGAGGCTCAGGAGTTCCAGGCTGCAGTGAGCTGTGATGATGCCACTGCATTCCAGCCTGGGCAGCAGAGCAAGACCCTGTCTCAAGAAAGAAAAAAAGAATATAAATCCAGGAAAATTTGTAACTCAACTGCACTTGGTTTGAGATCATAGATAATTTGATTATAAAGCCATCCGATGGCAAAATGATAGATATCATTAGTATGCTTTTAGCTCACGAAAGGATCACAACACAGGGAAAAGGGAGAGGGGGCAATCGTTTAAGACAAGTGACAGGCCAGGCGTGGTGGCTCACGCCTGTAATCCTAACACTCTGGGAGGCGGAGGCAGGTGGACTGCTCAAGCTCAGAAATTCGAAACCAGCCTGAGCAAGAGCGAGACCCGTCTCTACTATAAATAGAAAGAAATTAATTGGCCAACTAATATATACAGAAAAAATTAGCCGGGCATGGTGGCGCATGCCTGTAGTCCCAGCTACTTCGGTGGCTGAGGCAGGAGAATCTCTTGAGCCCAGGAGATTGAGGTTGCTGTGAGCTAGGCTGACCACGGCACTCTAGCCTGGGCAACAGAGCAAAACTCTGTCTCAAAAAAAAAGGACAAGTGACAGACCCCTACCCCGCAGAAGGCCTCACGACCTCTGACCTCAGCCCCTCCTCCCCCAGGTTCGGCTTCATCTTCAACACGTCGGCCCCCGCGCTGCACAAGCTGGACCTGGAGACGCTGGCGCTGCTCAAGACCATCGACTTGCGGCGCCACGGCTGCGCGCCCCGGGCGCTGGCGCACACGCACCGCGGCGGCTACGTCTTCGTGCAGTGCGGGCGGGACGGCGGCTCCGCGCCCGCCGCGGGGCAGCTGCTCGTGGACAGCGTCACGGACTCCGTGCTCGGCCCCAACGGCGACGTGGCGGGCACGCCGCACGTGTCCCCGGACGGGCGCTTCGTGTTGAGCGCGGCGGCCGACAGCGCGCGGCTGCACGTGCAGGAGGCCACGGCGCGCGGCGAGCTGCGGCCCTGCGCCGCGTCGCGGCGCCCGGCGTGGCGGCCCGGCGTTCCAGCTCGCGCGCGCGCCGCGCCAGTACGACGTGTACGCCGCGCTGCAGCCGCGCCCCGCTGCTGCTGCTCGAGCTGCCGCGGGCGCGGCCGCGCTCGGGGACCTCAAGGAGCCCCGCCGCGCCTGGGGCCGCCGGGAGGTCGTGCGGGACAGCGGGCTGTTCGGGCAGTACCTGCTCGCCCGGCGCGCGAGTCCCTGCTGCTCATCCGCGCGGGCCAGGGCGCGCCGCGCTGCGAGGTGCCGGGCGTGAAGGGGGCGAGCACGGCCGTGTGGGTGGGCGAGCTGTGAGCGCCCGGGCGGGCCCCCGGCCCGGGACCCGCGCCTCGTCCCGCGCAGGCGCGTGTACATTTTCACAGACAAAAGCGAACACCTGTATCCGCTTCGTGGCTCCACACCGGTCTCCTTGCAAGTCTCCAGCGCGAGGCCCGCGCTGCCGCGACGCCGGGGCTTTTCCTGGGGAGTCCGGCTCCGCCTCGCGCTGCAGGGAGGACTCGCGCGCCGCGGAAGGGACCTGGGGACGCGAGGCCCTGCTGCTGTCCAGGCTGGCGCTTCTGTCCGCTGCCTTCACGTTGTCTTGGTCCTTTCACCGCCAGACCCACCCTGGCCGAGCGGCCTGGAGGCAGAGGCCGGCCAAGGGCTGTCCCTCCCATCGTCGTCGCTGGGGACCACGTCTCTCCTTCACGGCCGCTGCTTGCTTTTCTTTCCATGTGACTCGTCCTAAGCCTGGGGGAGAGCCCACCAGACTTGCTTCATCTTGGGGGATGGGGAAATCACTCTCTTTATTTTGGAAATTTTTGATTAAAAAATAATTTTTTATAATCTGAAACGCTAGTACGCAGAAAGACGCTGTCTGAGGTCCAGCTGTGTTCTTCCCTGCCTTAGGCCCAGGTCTCTGGGGGAGGGGGGAGGTGTCACAGCCGGAAAGGACAGTGGCCATCGGAGAATACTGGCCCTATGTACAGCCTCGCCAGCCCTGGTTCTCCGGGTGCAGATCAGCCACCGTGGTGGTGGAGACTCACGTCCACGTGGGGACCCCAAGAGGCCGGGACAAGCTCTGTGTGCCTGCTTGTCACCACAGGAGGGGGGCGTTTCTGTAGCCAGGTCCAGACACCCACAGTCTGGGCATACTGGGCCCATCCCACAAGGTACGGTCAGTGCCCTGCTCCACACACAGACCCCAGGGAGCCCAGTGGGTCCCGGCGGGTTCCTGAGGCTGCACCTTCTCTTTTCTGCCGGTGGCGTGTCCACCAGCTCTGGGCCCAGCCCCCGCCGTCAGCGAGGGTTTCCTCACGCGCCCCACACACGCACCCCGCACACACGCCCTGCACACCCCAACCGGAAGGCTGCAGGCTGGCACTGCTGTGCGATTCCCTAATGTCTCAGGCTACGGTGACTCCCAGGTGGGCATCCGAGAAGTGACCCAACCAGCCCTGTGGAGACCACCTGCGTCAGAGACGCCGAGCAAAATAGGGGCTCCCTTGGGTCTCAGAACACCCCTTCCCTCGCTTCCCATGCCAGTGGCCAAAACTCCAGGACCACATAATCGTTGTACAAGCAAATGGGGCCGGAGAGGGTCCCATCACGACACCGTAGCTGATTTGGCCACTTGCACCTGCCGGCAGGGCCACGGTTGTCCTTTGCTTCTAAGGAGTGAGCCCTTTAAGGGGAGGAGGACCTGGACTCTGCCTCGTTCTCAGTACACACGGCTCCTCGTCACTCTGCCTGCCGGCCCACCTGCCCCTACCATAGTTCCCGAGGTCGGCCCCTCCTCTGGGACGTCTCATGTATCCGAGCCCCCCAAATTCCTGTCCCCTGCCGCTCCCAGGAGTGCGCTAGGATGACACGTGTGTTCATCTCCTAGATTGCACAAGGTAAGCTCTGTAGATACAGGCGATGGAAACTGACCTAACGTTCCTTTTCACAACAGGTGGATGGGTGGATAACACGGCTCACCCTGCCTTTCTCCTGCCTCGGTGTCTTGATGCATTTGCTCCCAAACTCCCATTTTTACCGCTGAAATTCTCCAACTTTCATAAACCTCTTTTGGTAAAATATTTTGAATTGCATCGGCAGCCCCTGGCAGAAAGAGTCTCTGCGCCGAAAGGAAGAAGAGTCCCAGTAACGGCTGCTGAAAAGCACGTCTGCCCTTCTCTGTCCTCGCGTGTGGCTACAGGGACGGCCTGCTCGGGTCCCCCGTCGGCGCGCTGGGCACGATGGAATCACAGCAGGGAACGGCGTGGAGCCTGGGCAGCAGTCCCAGGAGTCCAGGCCCAGGAGGCAAAGTCACAAAGGCAGGAGGCAGGTGTGTCTCAGCAGCGAAGCCAACAGGGCTGCCCAGCTCAGGGCTGGGGGAGGTGGGCCACACCCGCCGCCCTCCCTCCCACCCGCGCCCCGGAAGAGGCTGCGGGAACCCAGTGTTAGAGCCACCAGTGGGAGAGACGCCACTGCAGGTCACCCTCCTTCTGAACTCAGGGTCAAGCCACAACTAATATTTCCTGTTATGTTAAAGTAGTACTGACTTCACCAAAAGAATCACCAAACTGTCTCAGTAATCTTAAAAATTCACAAAATATCCACGTTTTTTTCTTTACAAAATGACAAATTATCTGCACCCGTGGAGACAGTAAGGCTTTGAAATGAAGACCCTCGTTCCCCGTCTGCCCCCTTGAGCATGAAGGTTCTGGGTCCAAGAGCCCACAGCCAGCCCGCATGGGTGGTAGAAAGAGGGACTGTTGGCTTCCAGATGCTTCCGTGAGCCTCCTGCATGAGCAGGCCTGAAAGTGGGCCACCCCCGGCACGGCAAAGCCACCGTCCCCAAATCAGCACGGCTGGCCGGCCAGCCCTGCCCGGGGCTGGCCCAGGCTATGTCTTCGGTCTCCAAGCCTTGCCAGAAGGTGCCGGAACAGCCCCGGAACTCTCAGCTGGGGCAAACGCTAATACCGAGCTTCGGGTTCTCTGCCCTAAATATAGCACCCCCAGAAACAGAAACCCAGTCCCTGCAACGCCCAGCCCAGCCCAGCCGTCCCCGGGCCCCTGCTCACCTGTGCAGACAAGGGTCCCGGCTCCAGGTAGGCGGCCAGGAAGGCGACCGTCCGTCCGCACGCAGCGGGCGCGGCCGCCAATCGCAGCCTCGGCCTCGCTCGGGAAAGCGGCGGGAGCCGGCTCCGGACGGCCCGGTCGTCTCGTTTTCTGTTGACCAATAACCTGTGAACGAAAGATGATTTCAGAACTCAGATGCAAAACAGATTCACTCTGGATATATTTTTCTACACGAGGCTTAAAAACTGCAGTTGATTTATCTCTCACCACGTGTTTCATTCACATCACAGATTCCGAACCATCCTCGCCTGCAAACCCCGCGGTTCTCTCCCCCGCCCCCCTTCAGAGGCCTCCGGGAGCGCTGACTCAGTTTCCCCTCTCCTATGCACCCTCGGTCTACCTCACATTCCCCCTGCACCAGCTGCTCCAACAGGTGACGAGCGACAATGGCGGTGCTGCCACTGAAGCCCTCCGCCAGCCTCCCCCACCCCACTGGGATGCAGCCCCAGCTGCCCAGAATCACCCACCCCTAACCCAGCCTGCAGGCCTCGGCACCGGATGACCGAGACTAGAGAGAGCCGCGCAGAAGCATCCGGGAGTCGGGTGTACCCGCAGGAGCAGAGCCCAGGACATCCCAGCCACGCCGCGTGTACTGAGGCCCGGCTCCCCGGCCTCCTCCATTCCCATCTCACCACTCTCCGCCCCTCCTGTGCCCGTCCCGTGTCGCAGGCCCCGTTCCTGAGCCCCGTCCTGCCAACCTCTCCCGTTGGAGGAGCGGCTGGCCTTCCCGCCACACCAGCCCCAGGGCCTTTGCGTGTGCTTCCCTCTTGTTTCGGGTGCAAGTGAGACGTCGCTCGCAGACCGGACGCTTCCGTATCTGCTCCCAGACCGGCACGCAGGCAAAGCAGTTTTGCTCAAGAACGTCACTAGCTGCCTTGGTTTCTCTCCAAAATCATAGAGATCACAAAACAGAGATGCTTAAAAAATGCAAGGGGAAAAAAAATACAGTGCCCGTCCTCGGGGTGTGACCACGAGACCCCAAGTAGCCAGTGGAACGCGACCCCACTCCCTGCTTTTGTCTACACCAGGTTACCTGCCAAGTCACTTGAGGATCTGAGCATCTTATCTGGGCTTGCAGGCTTCGGGCAGCAGCCCACCCAGCAGATGCTCGGAGACAGCGAGTGTCATCTCACACCCATGCCCCTCCCCAGAGCCGCGGGCAGCCAGTGGGGAAGCCTGGCTCAACCGAACACGATTTGTGAAATTTTGGAGAATACAAAAGGAATGGCGATTAACCTCCAAAATTCATAGCGAGGCTTTGAATTCACAGTGGCCAGCACCAGAGCGTTTAGCACGTGCTTCTGTTTTCGTTTATCGTTTTGACAAAGCCACAGTTCACACCCCTTCTTTCTGACCTCGCCTTTGCCAACAGGGACCCAACCTTTCCCAGGTGGCCCCAGAGAACAGGGGCCGTGCCCTAGACGGCTTCAGAGGGCTCAGCCTGCGCTCACAAAGCAGTCACCTCGGACTCGCCCCCACACAGGCCTGGTGACACGTGGCTCTCCACCGGTCACCGTGGCAGGATCAGGGACCACCATCCTCCGTGGCCACCCTCTTCAAGATGAGAGCTGTGTTTTCTGGCTGAGAGGCCCAAGAGCTCTCAAATAAGGAAATTTCCTAAATCTAAACCTGCGTCCACTGCCCAGCATGACACCTGCCATCGGTTGAACAGCGCTTGGTCCCTTGCTGCTTGAGAGAAGTGAGGGACACAGAGCTGCAAGCCACCCACCCCAGACCCGCAGCACCTGGGTGGCACCGCCTGGCCCACACGCTCACTGCCTGGCTCTGGTGGCCCGCCAGGCCCCGTCCTTCCTGGCCCGGTCCCCTGGTCTCCTAGCCATCCCCTGCTGGTCACACTTTCTGACGCCGTGTGAGACAATCTCAAAGCAGACCTGGGCACGGCGTCTTGCCGCCGTGGCTGCACACACTGTCTCGTGCCGTCGTGAGCTAAGTGACCCTCGAGACGGGAGGCCACACACACCGTTTGTCCTGCTGAGATTCTCATCCCTCCCCGCCCCGAGTCAGAAAACGGTCAGATCTCTCCTGTGAAGGCAGATCGCATTATTTTGAGCAGTTGTGTGGACTCCAAAAAATATTTTCTGTCATCGCCAGTATTTCTCCAAAGGCCTCCTGTCATTATTATACATGTGAACTTTTCCTTATTTGTAAAATACAGATAGATTATTTTTAATACATCAAGTTTAGTAGGAATTTGTACCGACACAGCCACGGCACGCGGCATTAGAGGCGAGTTGGCGTTTACGTTGACGTGTCACACGCAGCACGGAACACGCAGTGTCTTTGCGGTCCCCACTGGGTACAAAGATGACTCACAAATTACCATAGAGTGTTGTCATTGTAAATGCTCTTTTTCTGAGGATTTTACAATAAAACTTGAGAAAAGGGGCCTTTTCCTGGTGCCAGTGCGTTCGCAGCTGTTGAGACGAGGACGGACCGGGGCAGGACCACTCGGCCTCTCCCCTTCCCGTGGCAACCGTGGCTTCCTGGGCGTCCTCGTGAGACGGCCCCCACCCGTGCCTGGTCCGGGGCGCGGCCGGACAGCAGCAGGCACCTGGGCCCGGGCATCCTCGCCCAGGCCGAGTTCCAGCTCCCAAAGCGCACGAGCACACCTGGTTCGGAACCTCCCGCCAGCTAATCCATCCTGGGCGCCAGCCGCTCCTGGTTCTCACGGGCGGACCTTCCAGCGAGGACACAGGACACGCGAGGCGCTC